TTTTAAATAATTATTTTATTTTAACTTTATTATTATTACTTTCGTGTTTGACAAGAGAAAGTCAGAGAGAGAAAGTGAGAGAGCAAGCCACCAGGTCTGGGACTTGAGCCACAGTTGGCTGTGTGGGAGTCCAGCACCTTTAACCACCACCAGCACATCACCTCCCAAACCCACTTTTTTCTTTTTTAAAGAAGTATTTATTGGCTGGGGCTGCAGATTATGTGGTGGTTAGGGGTGCTGGACTCCCACATGACCAACTGTGGTTCAAGTCCCAGACCTGACAGCTTGTTTTCTCACTTTCCCTCTCCCCCATTCTGTCTCTGGTCAAATTAAAATAAATAAAGTTAAATAGAGGATTCTTAAAAAAAGAAAAGAATTATTTATTGGCACCAGAACATGGTATAATAGTTATGTTGCTGAACTCCTACATAGTTGACCGCGGTTTGAATCACAAATCTTAAAACTTAAGCTGGAAGACCAGCAGATGGTATAATGGTTATATAACTAAACTCCCATGTAGTTGACTACGGTTCCAGTCCCAAACCTGGTGGCTTAAACTCATGCTGGGCATGTGTGTGTGTATGCCCAAGGTCCTGAGAGGAGAATGAAGGAAGGGATTGCAGCGTTGCCATCCCCCCAGGGGTCTGGGACTTGAACCACAGTTGGTCGACTACCTGGGAGTCCAGCGACATAGCCATTATGCCATCTGCTGGTCCCGGAGATAATTTTTTTTTTTAATTTTCAGATTAATTTCACATTTTACATAAAGTTCCCAGCATGATGTATACTTTATATACATAATTTATTTTTTAAACAAATGGTGTGAGTTTAAGCCGCCAGGTCCAGGACTCGAACCGTGGTCGACTACATGGGAGCCCATCAACATAGCTGTTATGCTAACTGCTGGTCCCCCCTGCAGTTGGTTTTTAATCTAGATTGTGCATTCTTGCTACATTGAATGAAGAGATGAACAATCTGTTGTTTTATGCAACATATTGTGGTCTTTGGGGCCCAGTGTTGAATTGGGACTAGTGAAAATCTTCTCACTGGAATCATCTGGAAAATGTGGTTTAGGTCCTTGGCACAGAGCTGTGCTGATGCAGGTAACATTTGTTACTCTGAGGCTAATTACCAAGCTCACTAACTGAACTAAAATAGCTTTGTTTCTTTTCAGACCTTGATCTAAATCCCCAGACCCAAGATTCCTTTCAGATCCAGTTGTGTTGAAATGATTGCAGGGAGATTTGTCCAGGAGAGGAAGTCAGAGAGAAATGACTTGGAAGGTCCTGGAACATGGAGATTGGGAATACCTCGGATATATCTACCCTTATATGACATGACTGGTACTGCTATTCTTTTTTTTATTATTTAATTTTATTTATTCCTTCATTTATTTTCATTTGACTAGAGAGAGAGACACAGAGAGAGAGAGGGAAAGTGAGAAAGGAAGCCACCAGCTCCGGGACTCAGACCATGGTCAGCCATATGGGAGTGTCCAGCCTTAACCACCACACCACCTACTGGTCCCCAGTGCTGCTATTCTTATCAAAGGATAAAGGTATAATATGTAGGGGCTGGACGGTGGCACAGCAGTAAAACTTGACACTGTGAGGCTGACCCCCATGGGAAGGTTCTGGGTTCCTGTCTGGAGAACTCCCTGAACATGGACAAGTGCCCATGATCCAGGGCTGGCTGGGGATAAGCTGTGTGTGGTATGAGGACCCTGTTGGAGGTGCTCTCTGTCTTTCTCACTCAAGGAAGAAAGAAACAAAAATAAATATACAGCACTGAACATAAGTTGAAACAAGAAAGACTATTTTTTCTTGGTCTTCGTGGAGATGTCTTCTGCCACCCTTGACCCAGAAGAAATAGGTCTTAGGACCAGCAGATGGCGTAACGGTTATGTCACTGGACTCCCACGTAGTCGACCACAGTTTGAGTCCCAAATGGGCACATGTGCTTGTGCCCAAAATCCCAAGAGAATGGAGAAAGGATTGCTGCGGGGCCATTCGCCCTGGGGCAGGATGGTGGTGGTGATGTCTCACTTTCTATCTCTCTGTCTCTCTGCCTTCTATCTCTCTGTCTCTGCAATGAGCGTGCATGACCTATAGCGAAAATCTCTCTAAAAAGAAAAAAAGAAAGAGTATATCTCAGGCTACATCTTATAGATTTGTTTATTTGTTTTCATTTCAAAAGAGCCATCTGAGTCCCTTTCCACTTCAATTCCTGATTCTACCAAAAGGTGGATGCCACCACGCACACATTAATTCCTGATTCTAAATTCTCCATCCTCTTGATTTTGGCCCAACAAGCAAAAAGTTCAGCTTTTCCCTAGAGGCCTGGGAGAAGTCAAGTCCATGTGAAAGAATGAGGTGTTTCTACAACTTGAGAAACTGGCCTGTATCACTTTACATCATTAACATAACGCTCAGAATCAAAGTGCTAACCCCAAATGAAAGAGCACGCACCAATTTCAGGGGCAGAAGAACAGATCACAGAGAAAGACCCAGAAGTAAAGAAGAATAAATGGAAAATTTTAGGATGAGTAAGGAGAGCTGCTCTCTGGGAAGCACTCCAACAGAGAGCAACCAAACTGTGCCTTATCGCACTCAGCCAGAGGGGCGTCCGGCAGCATTTTCAGGAACCATCTTCTGTGAAAA